TCACGGACAGGCTTTTTTTTTTTTTTTTATTACAGTAAACAGTAAAAAGCAGCATGGAGGCTTGTGAAAACCTTATGGTGGTTACTTCTTTTTTATATGATAAATGGTCTGCACTTGTATAACGTCATTTAAGTGTTCCGACCACACAAAGCACTCTTAACACTGCATGTCACATTCACCCATTCGCACACACATTGACACACTGGTGGCCGAGGCTACCACACACAGAGCCACCTGCTACTCTCACACACAGATGGAACAGCCATTGGGAACAATTAGGAGTTTAGACATGTGGACTGGAGGAGCCAGTAATGGCACGGCTGATCTTCTTGGTGGACAATCCGCTCTACCTCTGAGCTACAGTTGCCCTCTCCATCTCTTCCTTATTCAGTCTGTCTTTCAAACTCGGTGCTGACTAATTTGGATCGATGTTAGTGCTGCTTGGGCTTAAGTGGACGGTATTTAGTGGTGGTGCGTCATTGCATCTCGCCAAAATCAGCGCGTTCACTCAGGTATTGTTTCCATCAATGCCAATCAGAGCCGGAGCTGATAAATTTCTGTGACTGCTGCCAAGTCGTTTGACCCGAGTGTGGATGCCAGTTGTAGCCTTTCCCATTAAATTAAAAGCCAGATGTTAGCGAGTGTTAGCAGGTTTTTTGTGCAGTGGAAAACGGGCTTTAGATACAAAAACATGGGAACATAGGGTCCAGGTTGGAATTTACCCTTTAATAGTGTTGTTAAAGCATGCATTCATGTACCACTGAGTGTCAAAACAGCTGTTGTGGACAAGAGACATGACAGTTTACACGATAAATAAGCATCAGCAATATTAACAATTTATGAGTCACTTTTAAAATCAGAGCTAAAATATGAGCTCAAGTTCCAACTTTTTTTTTCTTTTTTTTCACTCTTCCTCCTGCCCGTATTCCTCCCTGGTGATATTTAAGGTGTTGGAACACATCTCCACCCACATCTGACTGACATTTTTTCAGTTTAATGCCATCGTTAGTGTTACCGTCTGTCTCGTGAATCCAAAATGCTACAAAACAACTGATGTTGCGTTATATTTAGAGGCAGTCACTCGCAGTGGCATCACTATCAGCCACCTCCTCCTCAGTGGTGTTCGTGTCTCTCAGCTGGTTTGCTCCTCCGTCGCACCCCTCCTCCGCTGTGTGTCCTCTCTGACTCCTCGACACCGCCTCTGATATTCACATTCACAACTCTAATTGGTTGTCTGCGAGATAAAACAACTGTGAAATGAAATCAGCGTGATAAAAGATATCTCGTATGTTTAATGTCATTTAGACTTTATTAGTGCAGTTCCAGTGCTCGTGTGTTGGTATAGCAGAGGGATGATAGTTCAAAGTGAATCACAGACTGTTAAAGATCGCAGAGAGATGCTTTTAAAAGGAGATAAAGAACACTGTGATACAATGAATGCTGCCATATGTTTCTCCTCATTACGGGCGTTTTTGGAAAGCCATGGAGCCTGATAAAACACACTCATGCACCCTCAGAGCAGTGGATGGCACTCTGTGGATGTTAAATCATTTTGCTCGGCAGCACTCCATTTAAAACTCAGACTGTTTTGGCTGATGACACGTTATCTATGTGAAAATCTTGCATAGTGTTTAACTGTAGTGGTTTGAGCAAACTGCTCGACCTCACAGGACCCTAAAAATACCATTCACATCCTTCTATTTAACAAATACACAGGAAAAAAAAGTCTGAGTAAAGGCTGCTACTTTAGAAATGTATTCATCATCGTTACATACCCAGCAGAATTAAGCTCATACTGCATGTGGTTTTAAGTTGTGCATATTTTCACTGCCGAGAATCAGTTAGTGTTTGTATTTGCTGTTTGTGAGGACAGTGGCGATGTTCGAGGCTTTAAAATTAGAGTGTTTGTCAGCTAACAACAATGGATTGGAGGCAAATGGAACCTGGTAATTGTCCAATTTTCACACCATGTTTAGCCCTGGGTTTGGACCCTCATTAGCTGGAGTTATAGATTCATTGGCCCTGGGCTTACAGTCATTTCACACTTGCAACAAACACAAACCGTGGGTTAAGCACAGGGTAATTAGAGTTCATATATATATTTTTCTCCAAATAACTACTTTTTGTTTGCTTCTTATTTGTCACAGTTTAATAGCTGTGTTGTCACGAGAATTGGAAAACGTATTTTTTATATTTTGCTTCGCTGGGTCTTTAAAGGGGAAATTAAACTGTATTTTTCTACCGTCATGAAGACCATTAGTGCCCTTTATTACTGAGTGCTTCATGTATAAATTAATACATGCAACAGTGAAAAACTGTTTTTAAAGTGAGTTAGAAGAAGGTTTTTTTTAAAATGTGTATAACTCTCGAACAGACTGAACAGCATAATTAAAAATGCAAGGGCACATCATTCTGAAGCACATCTTTAGTAAAAGAAAGCCATGGCATATAATTGTCTACCTCATTTCCTCCGGATGTTTGCCACTCCAGCTGTGTACATCAAAGTCTTGATCACAAGCTGCTGCATAGGGTTTCCGTTGAGATGCACTGGTCCACACAGAACAGACCTTAAGTCACTGACCACTGAGTAATTCTTTTTGTTGCATTTTAAAGTATTTCATGTTCTCGTTTAGATTTAATTTTTGTTCTTTTGCAACATTACATTTTGATACTTATTTCACGTGATATTTCTCAGGCTTTAGTAAGATTTAGGTTTATTTTTTCATGCTATTTCTAACCCTGGTGATAGGAATACTTCACCCCCAAATGTTAGTTTGTATATTGATTACTCACTCTGTGTTACATTGAATTTGTGAAGAAAACTGTTTTCTTGCATGCCTCTGATGAACGAAGAATCCAAAAAGGAGGATATTTTTGATTAATTGTAATAAAAGGGGTCCAACAACAGCAACACTGAAAACAGCTGTTAACAAACTCTCACACAACTCGTGCAGTATAATCCAAGTCTAATTTATCCAGTCGTATGCTCAGTACTTCCCAAGCAGACAGCTCTTTCCAACAGGGAACTGAACGGAAAGTGAAAGTTATATGCTCTCTTGAAAGCCAGACTCCATTGGCAAACACAGTACTTTTACCTCAGTGAATAACACGTGAGCTACTGGTCTACCACTGCCTCGATCAGTTAGTTAGTTTGTGTCAGGGAACGCTCAGTTAAGAGCAAAGACTTTCTCTGTTTTTGGATTATTCGTTCAACGGAGACATGCGAGAAAAACAATTTTTCTTCTTAAATTCAGCACGACACTAGGTAAGTAATGGATATACTAATTTGGGGACATTTGGGGAATGAAGTATTCCTTTAACCCTTTGAATCCTGAGCAAATTGGCTTGATTTCTTTTAAAAACATGGGAAAACTGTTGCCCTAGAAAAACTACAGAACTCTACTTGTCTTAACCTCTTGAATGCAACATAATTATATACATTTTCCCCCCTCTTTCTTACCTTTAGACAGTCAATACTTGTATAGGTAGCGTTTCTGATTATTTGAAAAGTACTCACCGTATTGCCCTGTCATAGTAGTTGTTATTAAGGTGATGCCTTACTATGAATGTTCTATTTTGTACCTTACTTGTTTTCTGTTGTTGTTTTTGATGTAAAATTTGTAGTATATTAAAAATCCAAGAAACACACTTAAAAAAACATGAGAAGAAGGCAATACTCAATGAAAGAAGAAATGACTCAAAGATTAGCAAGAAATTAGTAAAAAGGAGAAAATTAAAAATAAGAAAAGTAGTAAAAAGAAAGGAAAAAAGTTAGCAACAAACAAGTAAATGACCTGGAAAGAGTGCTTTAAAATTATAATAATTCTCTAACATAATTTAAAGATGTAAGATGTAATAATAATGCTTTTAAAAAATAGTTTTTCCTAGCTTTTTTCTTCTTCTTTTTTCTAGTGTTTTTTGAAAAACAATTTTCTAAATCTATTTTTTTTTTGGCAGTTCTTCATTTCTCACCAAGTTGCTCAGTGCCTTTTTTTGCATGTTTTTGAAAGAAATCCCACCAATTAGCTGAAGGTTCAATGGTTTAAATACTTGCCAAAGGGATCTGAAAGCAGCACAAGAAAAGTGATAGCACTTCAGTTTTTAAATGGTTAAGAGATGATCTGTATACCAAACTTCACTCCAGAATAGATTTATTCCTGAGCTTTCTGGGGTATCTCCAAAAACATAGTTTTAACAAGGTGTCTGGTCTGGTAACGGCATGCTATGGTCTCTGATGTCTTTTATGTAGTTGCACTGTGGTGTTATATTGTAGTTAGGTGAGGGTCTGTGCAGACTGTGGCAACAAATTTCCTTGGAAAAGGACAATAAAGAGTTTTTGTGTCTATGAATTGAGGGGGGAATCAAAAGTAATAGGCCGAACATTTTCCAGTCAGAGGTAAACAAGTCAAGTGCTGTGAATGCTGTCAAAATGTTCTCCCTGAGCTCTGATTATAAAGTCTTGAGTCCTAAAGCTCTGAGTTAATAAACAAAGTTAAACTTGCCCTGGGTTTCCTCACTCGCTGGCTGTGTATCTCTGCAACTTGAAAATGAGCACGGTCTTATCTCATCCATTCCTTAAAAAGGATTCACCTTGATTGGTCGGTTTTCTTGATTTGGCTTTCACTTCTCAAATAATCAAGTGGGAATTCATTTACATAAGTTGGGCTGTTTGCTTCAAGGACTTTGAGGGATTAAACTTAGTGCGTTTACTTTTAGATGCTCTGTGATCAGGTGGTGCGTAAAGTTTGTTGTGTGATGGCACTGTGTTGCTTTGATAAACAAAAGTTTATAAAAAAAAAAAAAAAAAAACTAATTAACTTTTGCAAACTATCAGATTATTTCTTCTTTGTCAGAAGTAAGAGACTTGATGAGGCGCCAACAGCAGGAGCTAATGCGCTGGCACTTGGCATCTACCGCTCCTGATAAGGAGGCATTCTTGCTCTCAATCTGTTAGCACTCTTCTTCATCTTGTTCTCTCCTCTCTGTTTTCTTCACTGCAGATGTGACTCAGAAAACCGTTACCTTGGCAATCCACTCAGAGGAACCTGTTACTGTGAGTAATTCTGCACTGGACAGCTACTTGCTGTAGAAACAGCTCATATGCACACACACACACACACACACACACACACACACACATCCTTGATTATTCTTGGCTATTTTCTCTGCTTTTCTTTCTCTCTCTCCACTTCCACTCTTCTGCTCAGGGCAGATGGAGCATTTTAGCACTTTGGCACCAGGGGCGCTTGTTCAGTGACAGAATGACTTGTCGTGAAAATGTCAAGTGCATCAGAAGGAGTGAGTGATTGAGCTAATCAAGGAGACGGAGGAGTAAAAACGCTCCACTTGTCTCCTCACTCCCTCAATCACCCACCTACTCATTCATTAATTTAGAAAGCTGACTAAATGTTAGTTTGATGTGAGCGTCAAGTACGAAGAATATAATATATCAAGGTGAGTGATGCAAAAAGCTGCATTACGGGGGAAAAGAATTAAACAGATTTGACACCCAGCGCCCCATGTTCCTGTGTATACTGTACATGTTTGTGCTCCGTGTGTTTATTTGCATGATGTGGTGTCCTTCACGGTGCTGCGGTACATCTCTCTTTCAATGCTCTGCCACTGACAACAGAGCCTTTGCCAAGTTTTTGTCCCCTTTTTGAAATGCCACAGCCTGACACCAGGCTCAATGAGGGGAAGACAGGAACTAAAAGCCTGGAGCTTGCTTTAACCTCTGCACACCACTGGGACTTTCTCTCGAGCTCTGTTACGCAGTATTGTAAACATGACACCCCTGAAGATCTGAAAGGCCATTGAGCACGGATTAACATGCTGCACTCATTGTGACGGTATCCAGCTACTTCACAGCGTGTGTTGGTTTGACCTCTCACTCCTGCTATCTCCCAAACGGTCTAATTAAAACCCTTTGACCATCACATGCATACGTAACTACGCATGCAATCAAATAGAAAACTGATTACAGGCTTTATTTTGATTCTGAAAAATCCCTTTATCACAGTTGATTCGCTTTGTGGATGTCACAACCAATTACACACAAATATCCATTATGATATTTAAAGGGACAGTTCACCCCAAAATCAAACCTACATATTTTACCTCTTACCTGTAGTGCTGTTTATCAGTCTAGATTGTTTTGGTGTGAGGTGCTGAGTGTTGGAGATATCAGCCGTAGAGACTTCTGCCTTCTCTCCAGTATAATGGAACTAGATGGAACTCGGCTTGTGGAGCTCATTGCACCAAAAAGATACATTTGAAAAACTCAACAGCCTGTCTCTTTACAGAAATCATGACCCAATTACTCAAGATAATCCACAGACCTTGTTGTGAGCAGTTTTATGTAGGAACTTTTTTCTTTCTACTAAACTTTTTTTGGACAGGGTTTTTTCCTGCATAGAGAATTATCAGGCAACCACCTTCGCCAAATTTTTTTTCTGCTTCCAGCTCCCAACAAATCTCTGACGGCTGTCATAATGGGAAACAGTATTTTCTAGAATTAATTTCTCTTTTCCTAAATGCTTTTTTCCCCACTTAATCAGTACTACAGTTCAAACAGACATCTGGAAAACATGACAGTTCGTTACAGTACATGAGAACATGATGGCTATAAATACACATAAAAGCAAATAATTTAAGGAATAAAAATAATCGAAATAAATTCTATAAAAAAGGATAGGCTGTCTTCTAAAAGTGTCTTGTTAAAGTGTGTGAGAGGGGATTACTTAAACTACAATTAAATTATACTTGAAATATTTGAAAAACGGGAAGAGATCTACATTTGTATTAATTATATTTTGCCAAAATTAAAATTGTTTTAAAAAATATTCAGTATATCAGTGTTTGTGGTCACAGTCTCATATAATCCAGGAGATCTTTACAATGGAAAATATGACTTTTCTTTGAAGACTTGAGGAGCAATATCTTTCAGAAAATTGGAGAAGTGGACTGTCTTTATTTCAGAAGACATGGACGCAGCTTCACCGTGAATGTCTGTGGACAACAAAATGACATTTAAGACATGGACTCATGAATACTTAACTGATGTGTCCTCATACAATGTTCTCTATGGTGTTTAACTTTTGTCTGAACATTTAAAAATACTTAAAATAAAGAGTTGCAATTAAAAAAATAAAACAGCTTAAGCAAGTCATACAATCTGCTACTTCAGTACACAAACAAATATTACTGAGGCCACTGAAAATTGCAGATGAACATTTAATATCCAGGAATTCACATGATGGAAACAACTGACCATCCATGTAACAATCTGGCCAAAATGTGTTAATAATTTTAGTTTTTTCCACTCATTTAATTGTTGTAACTTCTAAAATACGTTGCATGTAAAAGTCTTTGTTTGAGCCAGTTGAAGGAGCAGTGCACATCATCAAGATAGTACCACTTCTGCGCCATTTTGAGACAACCCGGCAAACGTATCACCACACAGAGAGAAGTGTTCATCTACTGCTCGCTCACCTAGCGCCACCAAGCTCGCTAACATTATAGCTCAGCCAAGGAAATGCAATTAATGTTTACATCTCAAGAGCACGAGCCTCTCGTCAACGAGTCCGTGAGCATGCTTTCTTCTGTGCCATGATATGGTGTGGCGGGTGTAGTTCGGTACTGCTCGCAACAAGGTCTGTGGATTATCTTGATTAACAGGGTGCCATCTAGCTCCATTATATTCCATAGGTGGCAAACATCTCTATGGCCGATATCTCCAACAATCTGCAACTCATACAAAACAATCGAGATAGATAAATAGCACTACAGGTAAGAGGAAAAATATGTATTTTTTATTCTGGAGTGAACTGTCCCTTTAACATTAAAAGGTCAACAGTGTCTAGAATGCTAATATTTAAAGTTTGAAATAGGATCAACATGTTTAGGCCCACACCTTAACAACACGATGATGTACACACAGTTTGATCTGAGCATCAGTAACAAATCATTTTAATCCAGACGAACATATCAGGCTTATAAATTACACACGTCTTTATTTATTGTAAATACATGTACCCACTAGAAATGTAATCATCTCCCACTCCATTATTTGCAAACAGAAAAATAACCATTCATGGTACAAATTTGATTAAAGACACAATCAAAATGTACTTACCACTCTACATTATGTATTTACTCACACACAATCAGTATTTACTGAATTCATATCTGACCACCATTAATGAATTGTTTGATACTTAATTAATCGCTGCAGGGGGATTTTTTTAAAGCTTCCTTTCAGGGTCAGATATTCCTACACGCTCTCTGCTTGATGAGAAAATTGTACACACTGATTGCCGTCATTGGATTTGATTACAGACGTTTTGATTTTACTTCTTGTCTCCATCAGTCAGTCTATCGCCTCCTAAGTTTTTTCTGATCATCACATAGTGTACATCTCTACATATTTATGCTGTTGTAGTAGTCTCTAGTAGTGTTGCCAAGTTGCCACTCGTTATTCTTTACAGTGTACTGTCTAGTAATAGGAAAGTAAATGAGACCATTCTTTTTTATTTCTAATTCTCTAAATAGACAATCTCCTGATCGACTACCAGTTCACCTTCAGTCTCATCCAGGAAGATGATAATCACTACACTGCCATCAACTTTATGGCCTCACCTGAGCAGGTAACTATCCAGCCACACACAAGGCCATGTTCAACGCAAGGCGCCACCAGAGAGGTGCACAAGAATTTCAAAACAGCCCATAAATTGTTCAAGGCTCCCCGAATCCTTCTTGAATTTCATAACCTCTTTATAACATCTCTGCTTTTATGATGTACTTTACTATAATGAGGCTCTTGTGCCTTTTGTGTGATATTCTCAGTTTATCTTGTATTTAACTACAATAATTTTCTGTGTTTTCCATCTGAAGGCGAACAAGAACTTGGACATGTCCATTAATGCTTCCAACAACTTCAACCTCAACATCACGTGGTCGGTCGGATCAACAGGTACTTTGACCTGATTTAACAGATTATTTGGCTCCAATCTCATCATTGAACCATCAGTCCATTTCTAAGAAAGTTTAGTTTTACATTAAGTAGATGGATTTTCCGAACCGTAAACAGCTCACTGGTTATTGAGTTTTGTTTTTCCTCTTCTTTTTGTGTTGTAAATCCGCCTATTAGACTGAAAATACACTTTTCCATCGTCTGCACGAATTTGTGCAAAAGAGCAAAATTATGATGCAGTACAAGAAATGTTTTATTCTACACCAAAGAAATGCCTTAGGTCACAAATGCTATTAGAGATTTGGTTCAAAAGGTGGAATTGTAAAATTGAGGTCAAATTTGGATGTTATGAATTCTTGTTCTTTCGTTGTAAATTATCGCCCTCTTGCTGCATAATTTGCCACTACCACACCATACGATATGCACTCAATTTGTCTAAGGCATCAATATGAAGCCATTTTTATCCACAGAGGGATTTATACCAACAGGTCAAACATAGACACAGGCGAACAAGACGTACTGGGCCCTATCTTACACCTGGCGCAAAGCACTTTTGGCTTCAGAGCGATGCAGTTGTCATTTTCATGGCGAATGCCCTTGTTGTGTCAGCAGCACATGTACTTGCACCCATCTGTGCACCTGTGGGCATGTAGGTCTTAAAATGAGGTGTGGTCAGGCACATTGTTGCTGTATTGCTATACAAAGGTGGCGGAAAGTGAATGTATCATTGACAACAGAAAACTTAAGTCAGAATGGTGTGTTTAATGCATGCATCATTCAGATAGTAAGATGCGCCTACATAGGCAGGTTCTCTGCCTTTTTCACACACAGGGATGCGCAGATGGGCTTCTGATGGGTGAAATAATAAATCTATAATGAGGAAAATATTAATTACATTATCTAAAATGTGATTATACCAAAGAGCAGAGCTTCAGAGCTGCTGTCCGACTCTCCACTGAGAGAAGTTTATAACTACAGTCAAAGATCCCTGTTAAATAATTTCCATTTATCTTCTGATTGTATGTAATGATGCTGTTAATATTGTACCATTTGGTTGCTAACACATTTACCTAACTGACACTTGAGATGTGTGAAGCTTTGGAAATTAAGTGTCTCATAGAGTGAATTTGGCTTTTTCATTATTTATTTTTATTTATTAAAATAATAATTTAGTCAGTTGATATAACAGCTATAACAGAAACGATAATGTCCCCTCTCTTGTTAGTGTGTACTGTGTCACTGTTGAGTGGGTATTATAGGTCCCCTGAGGAAAGACACCCAAGGACACTGCAGTCGTCCAGTACCACCGTTTATCTCCTGCCCTCCCCTCCTCTCAAGTCATCTGCCACTTTTTCCCTCCCCACAACACTGACATTTTCCAACCACTAAAACACGTTAACCTCCCGCGCGCCCCCCATCCCCCCTCACGCCACCTTAACCTTTTGCGGAGCACCATCATTAATATTTGAAGTTGGGTCCCCTTTCCCCCCGCAAAGATATTGTGTCTCAGAAGGAACGGGAGCCTCTTCACAATCGACGAGAGCGTTGAAGCGCCTTTGGGTGGGAGGAGGAGGGTGATTTCAATTAAGATAAACGTGCTCACGTAGCCACACTCAAGCTGTCATTTTCACTTCTTTTGTTTCAGAGCTGTGGGTTGGAATGTCAATGTTGAGGACCCACTGACACGAGGAAGAATAAGAAATGACTCGAAGCATTTAGATAGATGGAAAATGGACTTAGATTTTCAAGAGCTTTGGTTGGGAATGAGTACGTTTTTATTTCATGATGGGTATTAAGAATCTTTCATAAACAAGACACTTCACTTCTGACCATATTGAATTTTATTGAAAGAAATGAAGAATCAAATTTGGCCTGTTGTAAAATGAAATTACACCCTGCTCATAAAAACTGAACATAAATGGACACAAACAAATATTTATAATAAATAATCAACCCAATCATCAGGAAACACTGTGCTAATATAGCTTCATTAATATAGGCCTATATTTCATCTACAAGTGCACGTCACACACTGAGCGAGCCGCCTGTTAATGATGCTGTCGGCAAAGCAGTAATGATTGTGCTAAGTGGCTAATGGGCATGTAGCTACTTCCATGTTTCAGATGATACGTCATGTTTGTAGTAGACCAATGAAGATGAGTTTACATATCACCTTGGGTTCATCCTTCACCTTCTCAAAATGATCCCACACTTAGGATTTCCTGCCCGACATATTATTAACTAGCCTGTGGAATAACCGCAGGTACCAGCCCTGGAAATTAGGGGCCATACACATGCCGCATCTTTAACCGCCTGGAAAATGTGTACAGATGTAAAGCTCTGGGTAGCCCTGCACTAACATGATCGACTTTTCCGTATTCATCAGACTGAATATTTAGAGAAGAAGGGAAAGATATCTGTCGGCTCTGACTGGTTTGTAACGCGACTCCTGTCTGGCTGCTGAGCGTGACCTCTTCCTGTGTCTGTCCTTTCAAATTAAATTCCCACATGGTCCAGTCATAGAGGTTTTGATTTAGTTTGACAGGGTGCAGCTCAAAATAGTTTTTTTTTTTTTTAGACCACCCCACAGGCATAAACTGTTAAATTCCAGGTCTCAGATTTACTAAATGCATTAGCTGATAGTGGTGATATGGATTCAAATGATGATGATGTGCCAACATGACTCAGTCATGACCTATGGCCAGCAGTCATTTTTTTCAAGCTGTTCTTTTCCCCCACGTCCATTTAAAAATAACGACATGTAATTACAAAATAAAGCTTGACTCTGTTTAGGTCAACCCAAAAGAAGTGTAATGCACTTAAGACATAATAATAATGATTGCTTATGAGAGCTTTCCTGTTCCAAATGGCTCGATAAACCCATTAATGGATTCATAATGATATGTTGCAGCTGGTCCACCTCCGTTTCTGTATGTAGGTGAATTATTTGAAATGGCAGCGTGCTAAATGTGACCTCTTTGCCCCCCAACAGCTGGAACCATCTCTGGAGAGGAGGTGCCAATCGTGTCCAAAACTAACATCAAGGAATACAGAGACAGTTTCTCCTGTGAGAAGTTCACCTTCAGAAGCAACCCCAATATTACCTTTTATGTCTACGTCAGTAACTTCTCATGGCCCATCAAGATCCAGGTAAGGACTGTGTTTATGACCTTGGACGGACTCTTATGAAGCAGATAACACAGTGATCCAATCCTCCCTCCGTTCACTGTTTCAAATTGCTCCCTAGATATACAGTATAAAGTATAAAGTCATCTCATTGAAAAACAACTGGTCCTACATACATAAAGAGAGCAGGAGCAGCCTCTACAGATGCAGAGCTTGTTGTTGTTGTCGTTCAGGGTGATTTCAAGTGCACTTTATTCTAATTACAGATTTAATGAGCGATGGGTAGCGTGCATAGGTGCACAGCTCTTTTTTTATTTTCCTTTTTTTTTTTTTTAGCAAGCAAACACAAAGCAGAATTTAACCTTTCCTTAACATTCACCCTTATGTGGTGCACTGTGCAAAAATACAACACAGTGACAAATAAACACCATTTGCCGTCAGTTATTATGGGTTTGCAGGAAAACAACAATTAAGCTATCATCAAAAAATGCTCCCGGTATACTCTCACATGCAACAAAATGAATGATAATGTTGCATAATATCTGCTGGATGTGTAAATAGGCAACTGTTTGCTAACAACTTCCCTATATTCACCTAAAAATGATAATATACAGTACAGGCCAAAAGTTTGGACACACCTTCTCATTCAATGCGTTTTCTTTATTTTCATGACTATTTACATTGTAGATTCTCACTGAAGGCATCAAAACTATGAATGAACACATGTGGAGTTATGTACTTAACAAAAAAAGGTGAAATAACTGAAAACATGTTTTATATTCTAGTTTCTTCAAAATAGCCACCCTTTGCTCTGATTACTGCTTTGCACACTCTTGGCATTCTCTCGATGAGCTTCAAGAGGTAGTCACCTGAAATGGTTTCCACTTCACAGGTGTGCCTTATCAGGGTTAATTAGTGGAATTTCTTGCTTTATCAATGGGGTTGGGACCATCAGTTGTGTTGTGCAGAAGTCAGGTTAATACACAGCCGACAGCCCTATTGGACAACTGTTAAAATTCATATTATGGCAAGAACCAATCAGCTAACTAAAGAAAAACGAGTGGCCATCATTACTTTAAGAAATGAAGGTCAGTCAGTCCGGAAAATTGCAAAAACTTTAAATGTGTCCCCAAGTGGAGTCGCAAAAACCATCAAGCGCTACAACGAAACTGGCACACATGAGGACCGACCCAGGAAAGGAAGACCAAGAGTCACCTCTGCTTCTGAGGATAAGTTCATCCGAGTCACCAGCCTCAGAAATTGCAAGTTAACAGCAGCTCAGATCAGAGACCGGATGAATGCCACACAGAGTTCTAGCAGCAGACCCATCTCTAGAACAACTGTTAAGAGGAGACTGCGTGAATCAGGCCTTCATGGTCAAATAGCTGCTAGAAAACCACTGCTAAGGAGAGGCAACAAGCAGAAGAGATTTGTTTGGGCCAAGAAACACAAGGAATGGACATTAGACCAGTGGAAATCTGTGCTTTGGTCTGATGAGTCCAAATTTGAGATCTTTGGTTCCAACCGCCGTGTCTTTGTGAGACGCAGAAAAGGTGAACGGATGGATTCCACATGCCTGGTTCCCACTGTGAAGCATGGAGGAGGAGGTGTGATGGTGTGGGGGTGTTTTGCTGGTGACACTGTTGGGGATTTATTCAAAATTGAAGGCACACTGAACCAGCATGGCTACCACAGCATCCTGCAGCGACATGCCATCCCATCCGGTTTGCGTTTAGTTGGACGATCATTTATTTTTCAACAGGACAATGACCCCAAACACACCTCCAGGCTGTGTAAGGGCTATTTGACCAAGAAGGAGAGTGATGGAGTGCTGCGGCAGATGACCTGGCCTCCATAGTCACCGGACCTGAACCCAATCGAGATGGTTTGGGGTGAGCTGGACCGCAGAGTGAAGGCAAAGGGGCCAACAAGTGCTAAACACCTCTGGGAACTCCTTCAAGACTGTTGGAAAACCATTTCAGGTGACTACCTCTTGAAGCTCATCGAGAGAATGCCAAGAGTGTGCAAAGCAGTAATCAGAGCAAAGGGTGGCTATTTTGAAGAAACTAGAATATAAAACATGTTTTCAGTTATTTCACCTTTTTTTGTTAAGTACATAACTCCACATGTGTTCATTCATAGTTTTGATGCCTTCAGTGAGAATCTACAATGTAAATAGTCATGAAAATAAAGAAAACGCATTGAATGAGAAGGTGTGTCCAAACTTTTGGCCTGTACTGTATGTATGCCAAAAAATAAACAAAAGCCATTCAGTCTGCAACAATTGTTTGTATGCATTTATATATATATACACACTTTATTTATATAGCACCATTCAAAACAGTAACAGTAACAGTGCTGTACAATAAAACGAAACACATTTAAAACACAGGAAGAATCAAATAAATAACACGTCATCAAATGTCACCAAAGTAAACAATGAAATAAGGAAGGACAAAACTAAAATCAAGATAATAAATGGGAAGTAAAATCAATGAGATAGCAGTAAAATAGACAGCTCAGATAAAGAAGTACATTTTTAGGAGAGACTTAAATGAAGCCAGTGACTCAGACAGCCTTATATCCTCGGGCAGGCCATTCCAGAGCCTCGAGGCTCTGATTGCAAAAGCTCTGTCCCCTTTAGTCTTCAGCCTAGATTCTGGGACAAGCAGAAGACCTCTGCTTTAGGATCTCAAACTACGCAGAGGTTCATAAGGAAGTAAGAAGTGTTTCTTTGATGCTGTTCAGCTCATTGCAGACAGGCCGCTAGTCCAGCACCTGCTAATATTTGCCTGCCGTTTTTCTTCGATAACTTAAGATCCAGACATTTGGGAGGTTCCTTCCAGGAGTCGAATTATCCATAGAGGTCTACTCCTCTCCTAAACAAATGCACTCAGTAGTTAAAACTGGTAAAAACAGTGATTATAGGAGTTTTATGTAAGAATCAGTGTTTTTCCTAAGCTGTTCGGCTAGTCGCAGAGGGGCTACTAACTACGGTGGCCAACACAAAAATGTGAATTGCCCTATCTAGATTTACTGTTCGGTGTGTCCGTTCTGGGCTACTGAAGAAACATGGCGGTCAACCTTATGGACTCCATGGACAAGGACCTGCTTCTTATGTAGATATAAACAGCTCCTTCTAAGGTAAAGGAAAAGTGACAAACTGTATTTTTAGGCGATTATACACTAAAGGAAACATACCCATTATATTTTGTTGCATTTCTGCCAATATATCCCCCTAAATCCTACACACTGGACTGTTAACAGAGGCAATTTTACAGAGGAACTTGATAGATACAATTATCATTCCTAATGATAGCTCACAATTACCTTTTTGCTAATTAACCCACTTCCAAGTATTGATTTTTATATTTGTCCTGTGCCTCCCTTTCACGAGGCAGATGATTGGACCGGTGTGGCGATAATATCTCTGGGGTCAGTCCATCTGTGGAGGTGGCCCAGTAATAGTTTTCTATTAGATTTCCTGGCCAACAGTCACTTATTTATTATGGACTGGCCCGGGCTGTTACAGCAAATAGCTTTTGTAACAGGATAAGGTCTCTCTTTCACTTGCTCGCCTTTATGATGCAGGGATGAGAGTGTAGACCTGGATGAGATAAAGCAGAATTTGAGAATGCACTTCTGAGCCTTAGTGTTTAGGTTCTGACGCAATGAAATCAGCATTTAAATGTAGGTAAAGATAGTAAAGGGGAGGTCTTGAGCTAAGATTTTTCTTTAAATCATCATGTGTTAGTATAATTGTTATCTAAGAGGGCTGTCCAATGTAATAGAAGTCCACTCGTAATGGAAGTACATTCTCAAATGATGCCATTGATCGGCTCAGATAGATGAGTTGAAATTAAATTAACCCCAAACGTATTGCTTTGACCTTATATTATGGGAAAAGCAGGGTTGAATGAACCACTCCACATACTAAAAAAAGCCAGCCAAACATCTGTGTAATGTGTGCTCTTGAATCATGTTAACCATGTCAGTGAGCATCTCATTTCAGATCAGTGATCTCAGTCTTTATATTAAAGAGGTTGAAAGAAGTCAAAGGTGGGAGACGTTTGCAAGGATGATGAAGTTGTCAGTAAAGAACATCAGTCCAGAGGGATACTTTCCTTCTTCTTTTGTGTGTATTTAGAACGAATACATTAGCTGTCATTGATATTGAGTCACCAAAATAAGTACCTTTTTGAATTTCTGCCTTATCAGCATTCAAAGCATTTAACATGACGCAAGTAATCCACCTCTAATAGCACAATTTGTGCCCTATTACCCGAGCCTACGTGCTATCAACCGCAGGGGGCTCAGTGCTGCTGCACATGACGTCGTGTTTGTGTGTCTAAATGCGCTCAGGGCAAAATGCCTTTAAAGCATCTACAGTAGATAATGGCATGTCACAATGATGAGGCCTATCAGATGTGATTTAGCAGCTGGGACTGTGTGTAATCCCTCTTTTAATGAAGGTAAAACACTATATCTGATCCATTATTTACTGGCCATGCTGCTGATGTAAATCCAGTGGTGGACGAAGTGTTCACATCCTTTACAACAGTAAAGGTACTCATACCATACTGAAAATAGTCCATGACAAGTGAAAGTGCTGCATTCAAAACCTTACTAAGTAAGAATATGTTTTATCAACAAAATGTACTTGTGGTATGAGCAACAAAAGCACTAATTGTGTAGTAATATGTCCCCTGTCAGTGTTAGTTTAATTAACTGTTAAATGTGATGTTTTTGGATTAATATTTCTTTATCACTATGTCAAAACATTAGTTTACAAACTTTTTTTGCTAAAAAAAAAACAACAACAACAAATAAATAAACTTTGTATTGGAGTCTGGCTTTGAGCATAGATAAGTTTCCTGATAAATTCAGTTTTAAATATCAAGGGTTTTTTTTTTAAAGCGAAAATGTAAAAATAATGGACATAGCTACCGTGACATCACCCTTCGGTTTGTAGACTTCTGTTTTGAAGCCTCGAGTTCTGCATTTTTGGTGGTTGCCATCTTGGCTTTTTGCCTCTCCCCCTCCTCTGCCCGTGTCACTTATGGTGTACCTCAGGGTTCTATCTTAGGGCCCATTTCATTTGCACTGTACAAGCTTCCATTAGGCTCCATTTTCAGCCAGCACAATGTCTCCTTTCACTGTTATGCTGGTGACACAAAAATGTACCTTCAATTAAACCCAGGGGATTCCAGCTTCATCACATCCGTCCTTAACTGCCTCCAGGATGTGAAATCCTGGATGTCAAAAAACTGTCTTCAGTTAATGATAAATGATAACAGAAGAGGAGAGAAGGGTAGATCTGAGTGAAAGGCTGGAGACACTATTGGCAGTCTGTCAGTATCCTTCCCTTAATTATGCGTAACTTTAAGCCTTAATAAAATGTAAACAGGTGAGTGAATTAAGAATTAACCCCCTGTACAGTTGTCATGAATGTTGACATTATCTATAGAGACCAAAACTGTTTTGTACCAGGCTATAAACATGTTTGTTTCTGCAGTTAAGTTTGGCATTTTAAAATAGGGGTCTGTGGGAATTGACTGGCTTCTGGGGCCAGCCTCAAGTGGCCATTCAAAGAACTGCAGTTTTTGGCACTTCTGTATTGGCTTCATTTTTCAGCCCTGGAGGTTGCCACTTGGAAAACACTGAGCATATGACAAGATAAATGAGACTTGGATTATACTGCTCGAGATGTGTGACAGTTTGTAAACTAAGACAGCAGATGCGTTGTTGTGAACAGTTTGTCACTTGATTTAATAGAAGAATGAAAGTGTATGATTTTATTGTAATATTTAGTCGTTTATTGGATTGTATTGTTTTTTGTGGTTTTACAATTTGTAAACAGAGTTATTAAAAGATCTAAATATGCCAGTATCTTTCATCTCTGGCCTCGAGCTATTGATGTGGAAACAGACATGAATTCAACCCACCTCCTCTGGCATTTTGATTTGGTATTATTGTTACTGTTGGTGCTGCTGTCACAAAGACAACCAGATTGCTTACCATTTTTCAGAGTCTAGCAACTACTACTACCAAAGCTGTTACACCATCCCTGCTACTGGGAATAGTAACTGCAGAAAAATGACATTGACGCTCTTTGGTAATTGGGGATAGCTCCTTGGGAAAACAAAAGCTCTATCTTCTTCCTGTTTCGGTTGGGCCATGGTTGAAGTACTTCCTTTGTGCTATAAATCAAGCCTTCATTTTCCCAGGAGATCGTACGTGGTGAAAGCGAGGCATATAGGAAACCAATATAAATCCTGATGGTGTCATTATTCTATAGCCATTACATTATGCAACCAACATTTACTTCAGCATGAAAAGTTAAGGCAAAAGAAAGTGTATTTCTACTTTAAAGAAGAGCCTGTCAAAATGCATTACATAGACATATTTGACACAAGTCATACTCAATAGATGTATCAATAGATTAATGTCCTGAAACATTTTGGAAAAACATTTATTTATCAGAGGTCGTGGCTTGTCTACAAACAGAAATCTTTCTGCCCTGTTTTTATCTTTCTTCACTGTATTCAAACAGACATTTCTTTCCACGAGCAGAAGCTTTTACAGACGAAATCTCGTTAGTGACCTTTTAGCTGGTCCATTCTGCTCTAACTGCAGACTTGAACTGTCGACACTAAATCGTGTTAACCCTTTCACGGTGTCACAGATCAACTGGGAGAAGTCAGTCGGAATGAAGTCAAAGTGTTTTCCCCTTAGAATTAAATAATCATTAATAGCATAATAGCAGTCCCTCATATACCTTTTAGTAGGGTGATTCATAACCATGTTATGTTGGCGTTAAATACTAGTTATCCTTGGTAATTTGTCTTTCTCTTCTTTCTGTCACACAGATTGCCTTCTCCCAACACAACAGTATCATGGACCTTGTCCAGTTCTTTGTCACATTTTTCAGGTAAGTGAGTCAAATATGAATACGACTTACACATACACACTCGATCATTTGTTTCATCTGCTCAGTAGTCAGGAAGCATTATCCAGAATTTGACCTACCACCTCTTCATTTTCCGCCCCTTCCTCTTGGGGCTTATTGAGTTACTTGAGCCTGTTCTGTTAACCGAGTACATGTTAATGCATCTTGTGTCTTCAAGGCAGCGATTTTCCTTTTTCAAGTGGCAGATGAAGCAGCCAGTAACCATTTAAATAGGTGCATATTGCTCCGCGAGTGCCGTCTAAAGAGAAGGCATAGGCGATCAAGATACGAGGGGCTCTTAATGATTTTTCATCCTGAGAGCTGCGATGGAAATCTTTTCTCATTGAAATGTTTAAAATGAGTCAATTGAGTTCTCTGAAAAGCACAGCAAAGTCTGAATACATTAAGAGGATGTGAGTATAATTGGAAAATGTATGCCCTGAATTAGATATCGGCATTTTTAAAAAGCTTTAAAGGATCAGCATTGACGCTGTCCGTCTTAGAGATCTCTCACAAAGCTTTAGTTACAGTAGTCATGCCAAATCAGTCAGATCGGCAGTGGATAAGTTAAGGGGACACTTCGTCATAAAATAAGAAATACATATTTTTCTCTTACTTGTAGTGCTATTTATCAATCCAGATGGTTTTGGTGTGAGTTGCTGAGTGTTGGAGATATTGGCCGTAGAGATGTCTGCCTTCTCTCCAATATAATGGAACTAGATGACACTGGGCTTGGGGTGCTCAAAGTGCCAAAAAATGCATTTGAAAAACTCAACAGCAATGTGTCTTTCCAGAAATCATGACCTGGTTACTCAAGATAATCCACAGACCTTGTTGTGAGCACCTGCTGCTTATATCACTGTGCAGAAGGAAGTGTGCATCTACTCAGCTAGCTCAGTTGTGCTAAGTGTGCTAGCAGGAGATACCAAGGCTATCAAATGAAGGCTGGGACACGGTGTCATGTCACATCTTATCATTCTGGTACAACGCATGAGCAGTAAAGTCTGGTCTGCACTTGCTGAAAGCCTAGTAGCATGTGCATTATCATAGAACATAGGGATGATCTTTAAGTTCCGTCAGGTCGAGCGCACCCAAGGAGGCTAAAAAGAGTGCCCCCAAAGAGCACCTGAGTGGACACCATCCTTTTATTTGTAGTGCTGTCTGTTGTAGCACTCTTACATAATGGCTCCAGTTACATCGCATGTGTAATACGCCATAGCTCCCATGAGGTCATTAGGCCTTCATTTAATAGCCTTGGGAGATGCACACTTCTTTCTGTGCTGTGATACGGTTGGTGGGTGTAATTCAGTAGTAAGAGACATTGGAAGGAGACATTGCTGTGTAGTTTTTCAGATGTGTTTTTATGGCCCTATGAGCACCACAAGCTGAGTGTCAGCTAGTTCCATTATATTTAAGAGAAGGCAGACATCTCTATGGCTGCTGTCCCCATCATTTGGCAACTCACACCAAAACAATCTAGATGATAAATAGCACTACAGGTAAGAAACAAATAAGTATTTTTGATTTGGGGTGAACTGTCTCTTTAAGATTGTTTCCATCATTAGATCAGTGTCATCTGTGGGGACTGTTATTTTCACACCTAACGCTGATAGCAACCATGCTGCAGTTTCAGTGTATATGTTTTCTCCATTTTATGTCAAGGTGTGCTCCCCAGAGTAACCTGATGGACTAACATATTATCTGTGTAGCTGTCAAGGTGGGAATAGAAGACAGCCTTTGCCTAAGGCACCTGTCCATCATTGCCCGGCCCACAATAACTTTCCCGAAACGCTGTCACACAATCAGTTATCTTCTGCCTCCATCCGATCAAATTACAGTTGAATAGCCGAATTCAGGAATTCTTGGAAGGAAAGGGGAGAAGGACGCGCTTATTTTATCTAAAAATGTGTCTGACAGCTACTTGCATCATTTGCACAGGAAGCCATTTTAAATAGGGTCACTGAAGGGGCACGGGGAAATAAACAAAGCAACAGTTTTGGTCTGAAATAACAAATGAGTGAGCACTTTTCATTATGCTCCATAGCAAGGATGTAGTGTTTTTATGCTCCTTTGTTGTTGTTTTTTTTAACATTTGTGGGGACCCTTATTAAGTAAAGGGTTTACCGGGTCCTCCCCCAAGAAATTCCATGCATTCTGGTGAGTTTTGAGACGCCAGTTTGCGCCTTTTCTGCTTCACTTTATGGTGGAAATATCATGGTACTTCCTGATTCAACCGTGCGTAGTTGCTTTTTCCTTCTGCCCTTTTTTTTTTAAATAGAATGCAACCATTGTTTTTGAGGTTACAAATTGTCACCACCTACTGTGTCAGAGTCCTGCATTGGGTTTGATATTTGGCGGGGGATCCCAGAAAAAAAGACGATTTGCAGGAGCTTTTTTTTGTCTCAGTTTTATTTAATGAAAGAACATTTGGGTTGGTTCCCGGTGTTGGATGATAAATATATTAAAATAAAATGATAACACCGGTAACAATAATTTTATTTAATGTTTCAATGGTTTAATCCTCTGACTCTTCTGCGTCAGGTGGATTATGAGAGCCTTTTCTATCAGGCACATTACTAACAGGTGCGTTAACTGTGGAGATGTGCTGCTCAATATTATGAGAATAAGCAAAAAAATATTAATATAAAATGTATTTCTTGAATAACCTTTGTTTTAAATTATACTGTCTTTGTTTCACATGTATGAAATGCGCTTCTGAACCAGATTATTTGAATAGCTCATTGTTATTATAGGATCTGCGGTTTTGGGTTAGGCCTTGAATCTTGTTTTTGGCAGCCCGGGTCAAGTTGTGGAACTTATTGGCCATATGTGCAGGTGGCGGTTGGGGAGCGGCTTTTGAAAATCCGACCCATGCAGGACTCTGGTCTGTAAGTTGTGTTGTAGCAGTTCATTGAAGTAAATGTCCTCTGTTACTGTTCTACATATTGAGGGGGGTGTGTCACCTGTGATCTACGCCTGTGGCCTAAAAGGTTGTACTCCTTTCTCTTGGAAATTTTTGTTTGAATGCTATTTACAGAACTCTACGTCCGTTAAAAATGTATTCCTCTTGGATGTGAAATGTATTGAATTCTGACACTCGCTTGCTCTCTAAATCCAATGGAAATCAACCCAGGCAATCCATTACACAGCACACAGCTTTCCCTGTTTGCCAGCCTAATGTTGCGCATCTTTTTCCATCAGTATGCATTGTGTTTTTTCTTCCTTTTGTTTTTTCCCACTGTCGTGCAGGTTATACTGATTCTCTCCAGTCTTTTCTGCATCCTTGTTGTCCAGTTCTCACTGACCCATAAACTCAGGAAAAGCAAAAGGCCCTGATGCAGTCACAAGCATGTGTGTGCGTGTGTGTTGGTGTGTGTGTGTGTGGGGGAGGTTTGGAGGGGATGAACCTGCGGGAAACATAATCAGCCTGATGACAAAATGTCAAATCACCCCACAGGGTTTTGAGACCTCCTTGTATGCGAGATAGAGGGTGAAGAAATGATGGCATGACTGCGAACGATTTCTCCCACTGTTGTTTTCTCTATTCAAATATTATTATTATTATTATTATTATTATTATTATTATTCAAATATCGCCTCACCTTTTACACGACAAGCTGTTAGGAAGTATTTTTTTCCTACATTTTTCACATGGCTTCTTCATCTTAGTGACTTTATAAACAATGTTTACTTGCACAGCACTGCCTTAGTTATAATCTAATTAGAGACTGATTGTTTTATGCGTTCTGATTAGATGGTGTTGAAACTCTCTAATAGGATGCTTCGCTATACTTGCAGTGGAACCCTAGGGTCTAATTTATACTAATTAACAAGTGTCTTTCCAGTCACATCTGCATGCGTGTGTCTATTTACAGAATATGTAAGTGTGTACACACGCACATTACTGTCACTATGTGTTCACACCATATAGGTGCAAGCGGCAGATTTATTAGGAAGCATGCATGCACTCGTTATTTATTTATCACCAACTTCATTTATAAAGCTCTCAGAGAAGGTCGAATGACACAACACAGAACTAAAATGTTTGTCATTTCTAAATATTTTAAAGAGGTGCAGGACTATATTTCACAATTTTATTTTTTTTTTGACACCTACATGAAATAATGATGCCTCCTTATTTAGCATTTAAATGTCTTGTACTTCGCATCTACGTACTATAGATGCATTTTTATCTTTTTAAGGGTGGGCAGGGGATCTTTAGGGGGAGATAACAGGTCAACAGTATATGCCACAGAGAAGTGTTATGCATCATCTGAAAGCTGGGAAACTGATGATTAATTTAAGACGCAGCTCAGCACTCTGTCAAGTTTTTATAGTCATAGGTATGTAAAAAACATTGTGTTTCATCAGGTGCCTATTCAAACTTTAAAGCTTAGAGTAATTTTAAGGTTTAAAACATTATGATGGAAGTACATGATGGCCATTCCCATGATAAATTATGTCTCAGAAGTTGTTGCACCATTTTTCCAGTTGACTGGAAAATTTACACATTTTTGACCACTTGAGAATCGATAAAAATAGTCAAAAAACTTACCAAAATACCACATTAAGACACCACGACTTTGAGGAACACCATAAAAAAAATCCATGCTTTGATTTGGTGTCAGAAACTACTGACATTCAGACATTTTTGTAAGAATTGTGTTTTGTGGTTGTATTTTTTTGAGGCTCTGATTATCCCAGAGGTCACAGTAGGTCATTTTATACAGTGGTATCCATTTCAAAAATGGTCTCAGTACAGTGAAATGGCTACTTTGGGGGTTAGCATCATCACACATGAATAAAATTGGGCTCATGGAAGACATGCGAGTCACAGTTTTTCAGTCATACACAATTTATGCAATTCCAAGACTCTTTAGGGACCCCAGCATGCAGAAATATTCCAATACGTTATATGCAAATAACACATCTGTATTGCTCCAAACTGCATAGGACTACCATAAAGTGGGCATGTTTGTAAAGGGGAGACTTTTGGGTACCCATAGAACCTGTGAAAATGAACATGCCAGTTTTTCCCTCGCCAAAATTTACCCTAACTTAGCTTTAAAATTCAGCTCAAGACAGCCTCTGAAATACAATAATGTCAGCCGGTGTCCCTGTGGAGAAGAAGAGGTCAAGGGTGCTCTGTACAGAGCTCCTTGGATCATGTTTTAGCGGCCTAAAAAGCCAGCAGAAAGCAAGTATAGATATTATTGATTGCTTTCCCATGCGGTAACTGTAGCCTTGTGGTTACACAAATGAGCTTGTAATTAACAGAAAGCAGCGCTGAGTTCAGTTTCCTCTCTGAGAAAGGCCAATTGTCTGATGTTACACATTATGTGACAATATCACCATCAAAAATTTGCTGCCTGCTATTGAAAATGCATGATAATATTAATGTGAGATGGTATAAAGAACATTAGGATTTGTCTGAGATCACAACACTCAGCTACTGTCCTGCTTTGCTCATGAGTAAATTTGGGTGAGTGGAAGTGCACACCTACAGTTACCGGTACTAGCTCTACAAATCAACCTATCCAATGTCAATAACTACTTCTAGAAAACTTGAGTGCATCTTTGTGTAAAGAATTTTATATTTGTCCTTCACTACCTTGAGGCGTTACAATGATTGCAGAACTTCTTTTATTAACATCAGAAGCGGAAGGAACAGCAAAGGAGATTTAAGCTTCTTTACTGTCTAAAATAGTGACGATGAAAGCCAAACATCTGTCTAGGGATTTTTGTCACTTCTGCCACATGAAAATGTCATTGAAGCCCCCACAACACTCCCCTCCCTCCACCCATTCACTGTTATCTTCAAAGGTTTCTAAGATGGTGCAAGTATTTCTAAAAGAATGAAAGGGTTCCCAGCTCGTGCACCTCTAAAATAAATTCCACATGCGATGGCGAGATGTTTGAAGCACAGAGTTTCCCATCACTGAACGCTTTAATCCTACTTCCCTTATTTTTTTTTTCTTTTGCTTGGTAGCCCCCTCTTTGCTTTATTTCAGAAGCTGTATTTTCCAAGCGTTATCACACAGACGCTATCGCCTTCTTCAAAGATCCGAACCGATAGATCTAGCAGGTGTGGCCGGCAAATTGAAAGCCAAGTTGAAATATCAAACAAACGGGCCTGTGAAATCAGATCTAGTCATGTGTCTCTGGTGAAATGTGCCTATTGGACGAGGCTGCCAACTTTAGAAATGTTGCGTGTCCCTGAAGACACAGGCTCATTGCTCATGTTACAGTATGTGTTTCCAATCCAGATATGATTGTCTTTGTTCCTGGACCTCAGCAACAGGGTCATGTTCCCTTCTCATTCAGTGAGTGGACAATAATTAGAGCAAAATAATTATTGAATTTTCTTATCTTTCACAAGAATAGGAGTTTTTCCTTATCCACTGTCGGGGCCCAACGCATACTGGAGCTGCTCTGGTGATCAAGCAAAGCTTTGTGTTAAATGTAAGGCAGCAGATATAACTTAAGTTGTTAAACGTTGCAGTCCTGGTGTTTCCGCTGGTAACATTCTGCTGTTAGATAGTAGTTTCTTGATGTAACTTAAGATGTATGAGCAAGAGAAGGAATGAGACAGCGCCTGGACGCTGACGGCAAGAGATCTGACAGATTATCACAGTTTATAAAAATGCAGCGCTGTGATGACAGACATTTCATACACCAGACATATATGACATAGATCTCATTCATATGAGTCAGCTGTCTCATCACTGTGTGTCCCTGTTAGAAGAGACTTCAGTCTGAAAATTATACAGTCACACCAAATACCGCCAGACGTAGAATCTAATGAAGTTTGTCTTCTTCTGTGGGACACATTGAAGACATTGGATCCACTTCTGAGTTCTTGTCATAATTTATCTATTTAACATAGTATTGAAGACCAATTCTTCTGTAATTCACAACATGAGCATAGGCAATGAATTATGTACCTATTTTGGTTTACATTTGAAACACAGAGGAGAAAGTGAGGGGTTAAAAGAAATGCCTGCCTTTAGGGGATGTTAGTATTCTATGTATAATTCTGAAGTGGATTGCTTTTATTCGAGTACAGATGGATATCTTTTTGGCGTACCTCCAATTACCCCCCCACGTCTCTTCATCAGTAGTCACTGACAGTTCCTCCTCCCATACACTTTTAATCCTCTGTGTATTATTAGCAGACAGGCTACACATTACGTCATAAAACAGAGTAAGAGACACCTTCACTGGTTGTTGAAAAGGCTTTTTGTCAATAGCAGATATCTCAGGGTGATCTTTAAGGGTCGTTCTCGTCTTAATATAATGCCTTATTTGTAAGAAACAAAAATAAAATCTAGTTTGGGAGCAGGTCTCTCAGTTTGATTTTACCTTTTTTATCCTATTGTTGGAAACCACGATCTGACGTACATTTAAAAGTAGCCTAGTTCGAATGTAACTTCTGACTCAGGTCGCAGTTTGGGCTGGGAGAGAATTACTGCCTCAAGCAAGGGAGTTCAAGTGTCTTGGGGTCTTGTTCACAGATGAGGGTACAATGGTGCGTGAGATGGATCGGTGGTTTGGTGCGACTTCTGCAGTGATGCGGGCGCTGCGCCAGACCATTTTGGTGGAGAGGGAGTTGAGCCGGAAGGTAAAGCTCTGAATTTACTAGTCCATCTACGTCCCAACCCTCACCTATAGTCATGATCTCTGGGTAGTGACAGAAAGAATGAGATTGCGGATACAAGCGGCTGAAATGAGTTTCCCCCGTAGGGTGGCTGGGCTCAGTCTTAGAGATAGGGTAAGGAGCTCAGACATCAGGAGGGAGCTCAGAGTAGAGCCGCTGCTCCTTTGTGTTGAAAGGAGCCAGTTAAGGTGGTTCAGGCATCTGATGTTAGAGGTGTTCTAGGCATGTCCAACTGGTGGGAGGGCCCGGGGCAGACCCAGAACATGCTGGAGGGATTACATATCTCATCTGGCCTGGAAATGCCTTGGAGTCCCCCAGGAGGAGCTGGAAAGTGTTGCTGGGGAGGGGGACATGGGGTGCTTTGCTTGGCCTGCTGCCCCCGCGACCCGGCCCCAGAAAAGCGGGTGAAAATGGATGGATGGAGGTCACAGTTTACTAGCTACTTAGATTGTAAGGGTTACACCAGCTGAAATAGTTTCAACATAGTTACAATTTGAATCTTACACCTAGTAAGTAGGCAAAAGTCCTCCGTAAAATCGTGAATGTTATTGTGCATTGTTTTGAAAGGTGTGATAACTTGTAGGATGAGGAGCAAATTACATACACCAACTGTTTTAAGTCATTTTTCTCCGTGGTGCAACCAAATAGTGACACAGCGTATGATCGAGCAATTTAGTTTCGATGTATTGTTTAGTGTAGACTTAAGAGAGAACTTGTGTTTTAGCTCGTTCAGCAGGCTGCCGGATTGTTTATGAATGGGGTCAAGATAATCAGTTTGTTAATGATTGAGCAATTAGTTGAATTTAAAATAAACTGACACTAATACTTGACCTATAATTTCGTGCCATATATCTTTACCTAACCACAATGCTCGGTCTCCCACATGTTGCTCTGACAAGCTGACGGAAAGTGCAGAAAGTCTCTTCAGCACATAATCTTAACGCTCTCATCTGTCATCAGGATAATGAAGTGGAAGCTCTCAATCAGTCATAGTTTTCTATCCCAGCAGCTCTCAGACCTTGTTGAATTTCCCTTGACTAATGATTTTACTGTTGGGTTATTAATTGAAGTAATCAGCCAAAATATCCAGTCTACTAAGAAATGAATGTGCTACCTCTTTATATCATCTCCCCTGTTTTGTCTTTAAGTTAGAAGGGAACTTTGAATATTTGAGTCTGTCCTGTTTCACCTCGTGTAGTTGTTTTAGTATATCAATAAAATATTATGAAAATACACACAAATGAAATGTTTCTATATAAAAGCTTAGTTAAAGCCAATCCAACCCAAAATAAGGGACATAAGGTCTTTTACATGTACATGTCCAGTAATGGACCAGAATGTGGAACTATTGAATTTCAGCTGGTGAAGGATGTAATGTAAAGATAGGGATTCTTGCAACATGAAACTCTCCTGGGTTGAGCTGCATATGTTTGTACTCAGTATCTCCTGTTGCATGCAGAAATGCTTTAAATACCCGAGGGACGACTGCTCCCTGTATGTAAAGAATATGTGCGTGCACTTTCACGGTGACAGCTGCTATTAGTTAAAGTCATGTTGCTTGATATCGTTTCCTCTCTTTCATTCCAGTTGCTTTCTATCACTGCTCCTGGTGGCTGCAGTCGTGTGGAAGATCAAGCAGACCTGCTGGGCTTCACGACGGAGAGAAGTAAGTCCAGAGAACACGTTCATTCTCTTGACGTATGACATACACCTGACCATGGCAGTATTTAAATAAGGTTCCCCCTCAAAATGTCAGCTGAGGCAGCATTTTCCCAAAAGTATCAGAAGTGCCTACAAACCTTCAAATAAACATTGTAGTTGCATTTCCACTAACCACTTTCGGTATAGTACCCTTAGAACCGTGTAACCCATACAGACATGAACCTAAACGCTAGTGTGTTTAGTATTTCCACCGCAGACAGATCTCTCATTATGTAGCAGACGGGGGTTGGGGTTACCAGATGGTGATAGCTTGATAGCTGCATCACTGCCCCATCCACTGTATTTTCTCCTCACAGATTGATGATTGATTGATTGATTTTGTATTTTGTGTCACGCACACTTGAGCAGGATTTCTACTTGTGCGTCAGCTCTATGCAGAGCCTATGCAGTAGCCTACTCACGTGGGCTACGCCATTATGAGCATTTATACTTGTGTGGTGGTGTGTCTGTGTCACTCAGTTACACCTTTGAAAACACCAGTCGGCGGCAGGGTTTCTTTGAATTGCTGTGAAGTTTAGTTGATTCAAAACACACCCAAAACAAACATTAAACATGGCTTAATAGAGACAATTTCACACACAATTAGACAAATCAGCTTCACTGTAACTCGCAGCATTCACAGACAAACACTTTTTCCCCACAAATACAACATGTTAATGTTTTTAGCACAAGCCTATGGCATTTTACATTGTATACATTAGCCAAGAGGCTAGCAGACTTTTCCTCTACTCATATTAAGCCAGGGACAACAGCAACATTTAACAAAGGTTACATCTTTGTCGCAGTCGATGGGATATTAAAAATAATGATTTGTGTATTGTGTACTTGTGGAGCAAGAGTGACAATTCTCTCTTGACCAGTCAACGGACTGCATTGTTTCTAGCTCCACCCTTTAGATCAGTGTGTTAGGTACCTCAACAGAGGGATGATGATAGGAATGGTTCTGTTGGTACCATTCACAGCTTTTAACAACTGAAATGCAAAAATAACTTTCTAATGTGTAAAGAACTGAACTGAACCACACTTCTAAATGAAAAAGAGGCTCATGGTGCCCCCATTTTTCTAAAACACTCTTGAAACCGAAAGAAAATTGCATTTTGGCAGATAAGTCCTCACCCATACATATGGCAAATACTTCTTTAAGAGGTATGACATCCCGATATTTGATTGATTATCTTGTCAAGAATACATTTGGTTAAAAATTAATTTGATAATTCAGATAAATGGTGGCTTTTAAGTTAAGTGGACTCGTGGACAAGGTATGAAAGAAGCAAGCAGAGATGCTGCGAAATACTTAAGGTAAAGGGGACGGAATGAAACATTAATATTCAGTGCTGGTGTGAGAGATGGGGTTGAGAAAAGATGGGGATGAAAAGGGGTGAAAGATGAGATGATTGGCATCATAATTTCAAAAAGAGGGTAGGAAAGATTCGGCGCAGGGAGTTGAGGAAGAGAGCAAATGTATGTAAATTCACCTCACTGCCCTTAACTGCAAACTGCATGGGCTGGTTACAGGTTCCTGTCGGAGCAACGATCATTTCCATCTCCTCAGACTGAATCCTATATTCTCCTAGATGCTGTCTGATAGTCAATAGCAGGAAGTTTAATTTGGTGCACATCCAGCCTTATGACCTGCAGTCTACTAATAAAGCTCCCACAATTTATTCCCCCTTTGGGGATGACATTGATAATCATAAGATCCAAATTTTATATCCTCTAATTGATATATGAAAATAAACAAGAATGATAGCTACCGTGACTCCGAATCGTGCCTATCCAAAGAATTAAAGTCAATAAAAATTAATGCAGGCAGATGGGCTCACGTCATTAAAATTCTGCTCACTTTTCCTGTCTGCTCTTGGCATTCCCGTCATCTGTTTGTCGCTGCCCTTCAGCTGCCACATGAAAATAGATAAATAGTTAAATAAAAATCCCTTTCATCTCTTAATTTCAGGTGATTGAAAAATTTTGTCACTGGAGGAACAAAATACTTTTTATTCTGTGAGGAGGGTTTCAAGATTTGTTTGCAGATGATGCATCCGTTTGTATCTATGAATGAATGAATTAATTCGATATATAAATCTGCTGTATATATTTATCTCAGGTGTAAGCCTAGAGGGGATCATGTGTATGTATCTGCTTATCTGCACGTAATCTTGAATACTACTGGACCCTCAGCCTCATGTTTTGTGTACCTTTTATGGTTGTGGTGATTCACATTTGTTGAAAACACCTGTTGTATTGACTGTTTTATACCGTCATTAACTGCTGACTCCTCACTTCTCACTCCTCTTAACCAGCTGTTAGGGCCCGCAAGTTTTCCGGAAATCAGCTCTGCTACGAACAAAAGGCCTTACCATCTGTTGTGGGCCACATTTTGGCCTTCGTCATAGCTCAAAAAAACAACAACCATCAATTAATTTCATACCTGGTATGTGATGATCCACTGAAGTTCAGCACATCACGAGATGAATAAGTCACTTGTATTTGTTACCTTCGCCTCCATCTTGACTTTGAGGGAGCTAAGAGGGACAATTCCACCAGGTGCAGATATGCCGGTTTTGTTCTGTCTATCACACACACAGGGACCGCGAAACATTTTGCTTACCCAATTTTGTACACTTGTAGATTCTGTTGATTTGGTCATTTGGTTCAGTTATTTTTGTTCACTTCATATTTGTGCTTCAGCCATGAGTGAGTATGTAGGCTACGAAGTTAAATGGTTTCCTTCTTTGGTCTGTTTTAGTTGTTTTTATTGTTATTTCCTACTTTGTTAAAGCCTTTGCATACTATTTTACTACTGTTTTTTTTTTTTTTTCGAGAAATGTTGAAAATCAAACCTATTCCGAAAATTGAAATGACTGACGAAAATTTCAGAGTCATTGTGAAGACATGATTGACACAATGTGAGGTCATATTTACTTTTAGATGTGCGACAATTTCGAAATGACAAAAACTGTCTCAGTGTGCAAAGGCTTTTACGTCTGATCTGAGATGCGGCGCGTCTGAGTGGACAGTTGCTCTGCATTTGAAGTCTGTGCTTCCCAGTGTAAAGTTCAGTCAAAGTGTTTAGCTAATTTAGTAACAGAACGTGATAATGTTTTTTCTTTGAAACACAACCCTCACTGTGCTCACCCTGAAATCCTCTTGGATTCTATAGGGATTTGTTACCAGCTTTTGTTGGCTGCAAAGGCAAAAATCATTGCAGGTTTGATGGGAATGGATGCTCAATATCTGTAGCTACAACCTGTGAACTGACCAGCCTAAGATATGATAATTTTGACCACTTATTCAGTTAAACCTGGTTTAAACAAAGGATTTGTACACCCTCTCAACGTTCAATTTCAAAATGCCATACTAATAAACACTTAAGCATTTCTGCTGCATGGCTTTATAAACCTGAGAAAAACAATACCTTAAGGTTCCTGATGTGGCATTTTCAGCTGCCCTACTTTTGAGGAGAAGTTGTAAAGAAAAGCTGCGTGTTGGTCACCTTTCCCTGAAAGCTGTGGCAGCTTGAGGGTGTTCTTTAGTGCTGCTGTTGTGGGTGCTTCAGCTCTGCAAGTAGTCTTTAACTGCTTCTCATGTGGCGGTTCTCTCGGCCACATTTCCCTAATGGCCAAATCAGCAGAATAATTTGTAGTGATTATTGCTGAAGTAGATAAGGTCTGTCTTATATCCTGTCCGAGTAAATAGGTTTGATGTATAAAGTGGGGCATCCAGTGCATCACTTATGTAAGTACTTGTGTCTGAAACACGTTGAAGCTATAAGGTCAAACGACTAAGAACTGCTTTAAAGTCAGCACACCTCTAAAGCAATCAATGTGAGCTTTTTCTGTTGATCCAGGCCGCTTATTAACACCATTTTCTCTGATAGAAAATTACCCATTCAGAATCACAGCAAGAATAAGCATTTTGGAATAGATTTTTTTATAACCAAATACAAGCTGGTGAACAGCTGGTGAAACAATCCCTGCGAACCTCCGACTTGAATCCTTTTCTCACTTTTGTTTGATAAACTCTATTATCAGTGTCTGACAGGTGCAGACATAATCAATCTCCCTTTAAAAAAACTACCCCCAAAAAACAAGATTTTCTGTCTGTAGCTCTAGCTGCTGCTAAAAGGGCAATTAGACACAAATCCATTCATGTGTCCTAGAAAGGACTCTCTTTGCTTTTATGTTTGCTTTTCTCAAATGAGAGCAGACATTAAAAATATTAATCTCCATTTTAATGTATGCACTCGTCTTTAGAGACATGATACGGCTGTTAACAAAAGCATAACTGCAGTTGTTTTGAGCTGACAATTTAATACCTGATAGAACGTTTAAACAAAGTAGCTGCAAAGATTAGGTCAAAAAAGAATATAATTTTCAACGTAAAATATTCAGCTCAGCTCACATCCCTGCTACATCAGCTGATCTCAAACAGCCCAATCAACTGATGGAGCAGCTGACTGATGGAAGGAATAGATCACATGATTCCTTTCTATGCAACCAACTGGCGAATCTCATTCAGGGCGCCCTATTTCCTATTATCCTCTGCAAGCTGCTTTGCAACCTGCCTCCACCCATATCCTCCTTTTCATGCTGTCTCTGACTTATCAGTGTCATTTCTGTTTGTCACTGATGCTGCTCTGTTCTGTTCCCGGGGGGTCTTTGCTGCTGCTCTCTCAGCCTTAGGCTTTCCATGTATACGCATGGAAGGGCAGAGATGATTGCTCTCTCTACCTCTGGCTTTCCTCATTAGCGTGTGGAAGGGCAGGGAGGTTTGCCTTTCTACCATAAGGCTCCCTACAAAGACATATTCGAAGGGCAGGGAGGTTTGCTCTCTCCGCCTCAGGCTTTCCTCATAGGCACATGGAAAGGTGGAGAGGTGCTCTCTCTGCCGTATTCTTTCTGCGTAGGCCCAGGAAAGGCAGAGAGGCCCCACAACAGAGCCATA